ATTCATATCACTCCCACCATAATAGCCTTGAGGAGCTGCATTTTTTGTCTGTGTAAACCCAGAAGACAGTGTGTCTATTGACCCTCTTGCTGTTTCTGGAATGTGTCTTAGAAATTTTTCTCAGCAAAATATCCTTCGTTCTTTTCTGTATTGGAGACTGAAATGGCAGAAAGTGTACTTGTTTTCTAAAAAATTCTCCTAAACTTAATCACCAGTTGACTTTCGTATTGAGCTGGATTTTGGGGGGAGAAGGTGTATGCAAGTAACACTATACAAGGATTTATTTTTTTAATTCTCTAAGAGGCAGCGTGTGATGCATAGCAGCTTACTAACATTTTCTCACGCCTTCAGGATCGACAGTGCCCATCATAGAGATGTCCATATCCCCTTTCTCTGTTTATTTTTCCTTTCCTGACTGCTGGTCAAAGGCATAAAGTACTAGGATTGATTTCAGATCAGTATATAAAGCTTTACGAGTACTGCATGTTTGCAAGACTATGGAGAACTTTCCCTGTCTGTAATTCTTTTGTCTCATTCTGATACACAGTGATTACTTAAGTTGCATCATGTTGCTAAACTGCAGAATTTTTCAAGCAGGTGATGAGTCGGTTCAGACCTCTCTAACACGGGTTACTTCGGAGTGAAAGGGCTGCGGGGTTAACTTTCTTTCCCCTTTAAAATAAGAAATTGGAAGAAATACTTCTGTAAGTACTTCAGTCATGAAAGATATTAGACCATCAATGTCCCACCCTGGTATCCATCACTTGGCTTGAACTTGCCATCTCTGGGTTCCTGGCGGACTCATTTAAACATCTGGAACTAACTTTTGATGCTGTTTGAAAATCTGGTTTTTGCAACTTGGTGGTTAGATAGAAAATCTGCAGGAAATGTGGTTAAAATAAACTTGACAGAATAGTGTTTTGTTTTTTCTCCTGCTACCTTGTAGAAGAGATAGAAGCCATAGTGCGTCTTGCCAGCTCATATGGCTGTGGACTTTGGTGTTAGGTGCTGTAGAGGCCTGATGTTTCAAATTTTTTTTAAAGTGCTGAAGACAGCCACAGTTCTACCAATTTTTAAAAAACAACACTTTGAAAGTTTTACTACCCTACTTTCTTCCCCATCAACTAGCAAGGCTGTCTAAAGGAAGGAAAAAGATTGGCTTTCATTACATTTCATGGTAATTCTCTATGGGTTCTGTGAGAAAAGAGGTCATACATAATAACCTTACCTGCTGCTAGTGTGCTTTTAACTAGTTCGCTCTATCAGAGCTACACGTCCTTTTCCTAGAGTTTCCTTTCAGGGTTAGTTACAGAAAGCACTCCTCTGGTGTGACGGTGTTTAAATCTGATTGCTATGGCAGTGGAAGCCTGAAGTTCACCTGTATGCCCGCGGCGAGGTTAATGGTGCTGCCGATAGCGGGCTGCCGTGCGTTCCTGGGAGCGCTTTTCCTGATGAGACGTGCATTGGCGTGTGTGACCTTTGGGTTTTGTTGTTGCCATCTGAGTCCAGAGAACAACTGCCTTAACAGAGACAGACTGTGGATGGGAGGCAATACATATATACACTGTGCATGTTTATCTGGACAAAAAGATATTACAAAGGTATGTTCTGGGGGAAGCGTGCAAAATCTGTGTATCTTTTGCAAATGTGGGCAGAAGTGTGCATTTGAAAGCAAACTGCTTTTCTTCTCGCCACAAATCCCTAAAATGTATATACCCTTTTCTGCTTTTTCATGATGCCGAAAGGTGACCTCATTCTTTTTTCCTTTCAAGAGGGGAGGGGATTCTTTGTTGCATTACGAGTATCTAGCCTTGGCGTCTCTTACAACTGAGTAATCTGGCAGTCTGTAGAAGATCTGGATTGTGGTTTCACATGTGGTGCTGGAAACGTGAGCTCTTGCTCAGTCATCTCTGCCCCGTTAAAGGAGAGAGTGTGTTGACTGAAAGCTGCATCACGGTATCATCCTCTTATATCCTAAGTCACGGTCTGGTTTTCCAGAGACCAGTTATTCCAAAGCCTTTCCTCTTGAAGATACTGGTCAGAGCAAATATTTTAATATTAACTCTAAGAAGCCCAAAAAAATACCTTCTCTGAAACTGTTTGCATGCACAAGTGAGCAGTAAAGAAGGCAAAAATTTATTTTCTGTAAAGCTCAACTGTAAATTACTCCTGAAATAGCTCCTGTGACTCCGTGCAGCTCCAGGCCACTGCATCCGTTACTCTGAGTGTGAAACTTAACGTCATCAGCTCATTTTTATCATTCTGTGCTTCAGCAGAGTGCAGGAACCTAGCTATAAAATACAATTCTGTTGATACTAGAAGTGATGATGATAGAGTAAGTGACATACTCAAATGAAGTAATAAAAAAGTTCTAGACTTTCTTTATATTTTTATTTTAAGATCCAAATACCTCATTGGAAAAATATTTAAACTGTTTGAAGCTTGCCAAATGCATTAAATGGCCAGGAGAAACAAAACATCACTGGGGCTCTCACACAAAAATTCTTGGTTTTGGAATGTTTCCAATTTTACTTACTCATCTGCTGCCTCCTCTTATTTGGGGCCAGTTAAGATAGTTTTGGAAACCGAGTGTCTGCTCCGGTCTACATTTAGCTCAGAGATACTTTGCTCATATCCAACCAATGATCCTGCTCATGAAAATGAACTCTGGCTTAATGTTTGCTGGATCTGCCTGGAAATGTGTAATAATGGATTTCTTGTTTTTCTGCTTCAACAATAGAGTCAAGGGACAAATTCCTGAGTTGCACTATTTAAAAAGAAAAGAAAAAAAGACACAGCTGTACGAGTGGGACTAGGGCTGTTGTAGAAGTCAGCTCAAACAATGGGTTGCTCTTCGGTAGACAGAGAGAATGGGCCTCACAAATGGATATTGAGCTGGGGCAGCTGGGGCTTGAGGAGGGGTTGGGAGACAAGCATACAGTACTCTGACAGCTGTCCGCCTTTCCCTGGCTGACTTTGTTTTGCTGGTAAATTTGTGTTTGTAATACAAGTCTGTATTGTTTTTCACTTGTGTTTAATGTAGCTATATGTAAGTGAGTTGATGATAAAGTTTAATAAGCTATATAGCCCTTGGGCAGAAATATGATTGATATGGCTTCTTGGAAATTCATTGCAGCAGGTAAATTTTCTGAAGTTATATGTGCATCATTTACAGGAGTTAGCAGACAGTTGAAACTCTTCGGGAACAAGCGAAGTTGAAAGTCTGTCATTTGTTGGATTTATTTATTTGGTTATAGTAGCAGTCTTTTCCATTTGATGCTGCTGTTTCATCTCCTATTATGCACTCAGTGACCAGCATTTTCTCATTGTGCTTGAATTATTTTTGTAGAAAGAATGTGAAGGCAATCAAGGAAATTCCTACAGCTGACTGCACTTGCAAAAGAAATAGCTGAATTGAGGTGAAATAAATTATTGAGATGTGCGAGCTGGACAAATGGGAGGGAAGCCTGTTTCTTTGCAAACTGAGATTTGAAACCTTCTGGCAGAATCTGTTACCTTCCAGATATGATTACTAAAATGTTTCATGATTTGGTGTTTCATGGATTTATTGTCAGGAAACTATTGTCTGCTTGGAACAGTTCAAAGAATAACCCCGTTCTGAACTATTTTTAATGGGAGCCCACTTAGAATATGCTAGAATTAATTATTCTGAAGTTTTCCCTGAAAGACCCAGAAGTCCTTTAAAGAATTTTTAAAGCCGTCTTTGCTTCTCCTTTGCTAAAGGGGTTATTCTGAAATTGCAGGAGTGGTTGGAACAGAAGGCTTTCTGGACGCTCACAGCTCTGTTCCAGGGCTGGGCAGGCAGAGGAGGCTCCGCGAGAGCCTGACAAGTGAGTGCGCGCTCAGGACAGGTCGGCTTTGCAAAGCCAAATCCTGGGCTCTCTCTGATGGATGGCAAAGCTCTCACTGGAGCGAGCGTTTGGCCCACAGCCGTGGGGCAGGTGGGAGTAGGCAAGGTGCGTGGGGCTGCGTGGGAGCAGGGTTTGCCGCAGGGCTCTGGCTGGGTGGGTGCAAAGTGGGAGAGAGGGGAGGCAGGACAGGGAGCGAAGGCGTGTGGGTGTAGGGAGCTGGGCAGGAAGGGAAGAGGAGGAAGAGTGGCTGTATGAAGGCCAACAGCAAGGAAGGAAAAGGCAGCTAAAATAAACAGATGGGGTAGGCAGTAAGGGAATAATGTTGGGCAGTGAAACAGATAACCGAAGGCCTTGGGAAGCGGAATTGTAAGGGGAGGAATCTGAAAATAAGAAAGGGTCACTCGAGGACAGTTTGTTCTAGGGGAAGAAGTGAGGTTAACTGTCCAGTGCTCTGCTATACTGGGTAGCAAAGCAAATTGTCTGTGTGGTTAAAAATAGGGAGTCGTGTCTCAGCTGCTACTCAGGCTCCCCTTTCCTTGTGCACTTCATGCGAGCGCTCTGCAAGGAAGTGTAGATAAAGGACTTTGCAGAGAGCACAGCGGGAGTGTGAGTGAAGATGTTTTGTCATGATTCTGTTGGCTAAGGCATGTGAAATGAGACAAAACTGTTGGGTTTTTTTTTGTCACTTCTCTTTCCCCCCAAAATACTGCTAGCCAGCAGGTGAGTAGTTCACTAGAGAAGAGCAGGTGCCACCCAACAGGGCATACTGTGGAGCAAGAGGAGTGTCTGCAAGTGTACGGAAAACGTGCATGCCTGTTAAGTGGGCTAGCAGAGAGGCAAACTTGTTTCGGTGTTTTACGTGTAGTGTGAGCAGAGTTTGTTCAGGGAATGCAAAATGGTTCACGGAAATAGCATATTGTAACACAAGAACAGCATCAGTGTGTATGCTGCAGCCTTATGCTTGACATAGATCAACTGTGTCACAAAACAGGAGTAAACCAAAAGCTGAAGTGTTCAGAGACCCAGATGCTAATGTTCCTGTCCTGCCTACTGGTAAGGTGAGGAGTAACACAATGCAATTTCCTTCTGTGCAGTATAAATTATAAATTTCTTTTGGCATTTCTTTAGGCGAGGCAGCAAGCCCAGCTGCGACATCAAATGGCAGAAGACAGCAAAGCAGAATATTCTTCCACTCTACAGAAGTTCAACAGTGAGCAGCATGATCATTACTACACACACATACCAAACATTTTCCAGGTAAGGGTTGCTGGCACTGATCTGGAGTAGCTCATTATCTTGTGGTAAGAACAGAGGGGCGTACTGCACATTGCGTCAATTCTGTGACCCTGTCTTTTGCTTTTCGGTGACTTTTGTCACTGTTAGCAAATTTTTTATGCAGTCTGCCAACGCAAGAGATGGAGAGCTTGATAGGATAAATTGTCCCTTCCTCTTGGACCAGATATCAACTGGTCAGTAGTATATGAGGAAGGTGACATTGACTTGTCATGACAGATTACGATAGTCTTTGGAATCCTCACAGTCTTGCTCTGTGAAACTCTTGTGACCATGCAGCTGGGGAATGAGAGCATTATTTACATTGTTGGGGCAGGAGTCAGCTGGGCATCATTACATCTGTAAAGCCTTACAGCCCCTTACAACCCATCTTCAAATCAGACTTCACAGATGTTTAAATTTAAACCACAATAATTCTGCAGTAGTGAATGTCAAAGGGTTTAAGCAAGCTTGCTGATGATGTCTTACGGTGCCTAAAGAAAAATGGTAGAGAAGGAACAAAAAAGCCATCAGATTTATACTAACCGAAGATCGGAGTTTGTCCTTGACTGACCAGAGAGATTAATGTAGTAGAACAGAAGTTTGAAATGACTGTTCCATTGTAATGGGATATAAGCATCAGAAGTGGAAAATACAACCTCTTTAAGGGAGGGTATGTCACATGCTTATCATATGATGAGAAATAACTGATACTTGCATAGTAAATATACGTGTTTTTATCCATAGCTGGAACTTCTTAGCTAAATGGACACCTCGTCTTTTGCTTCATGGTATTTCAAATCAATGTCTTGTGATAAATTATCCCTGACATCAGATATAAAATTTTTGCAATATATTTATATTTAATGCTAGATCTGGTAAGTGTTCTGATTTGTAGGTGAGCGTTCGTAAAGTACTGCAGATGAATCCTTTTCCCTCCCAGTTGCACGAGTAAGTTCTAGTGCTTTCTTTTAGATGTTGAAATCAGATGTTTTCTAAAGAATTCCTGTTGCTAGTGGATCAGTCAAGACAACAGAGATTTTTAACTTGACGATGCTCCATAAGATTCCTGCAGTCTGATGTGAAACAGGCCATTCCTGTTCATGCCCTTCTGTATCCCGTTAGAATCTGTCATAATAGTGCTGTGCCACATCCAGTTTCCCTCTGTTGTAAATGAGAGGCCAGTGGGATAGGTGCTGGAGGTCGTGGCACTGAATCCATTGACCAACAGGGAGCATGTGTTGAGAAGCCCTGGTGTGAACAATGCATGATGTATAGGACTGCCTGTAAACCAAAAATTACCTACTAGGGAAAAGGAGAAGGGGAAAGATCAAGAGTTTTGTTTGCTTGGGTTTTTCAGTGGAATGAAAATAAGATCTTTCAGAACGTGCAGAAGATGAAAGAATTTGTTGTTGCGGAAATTCTCTTAAAACCTTAGGAGTCATCCTTACAAAAGGCTAAAGCTGGGGTTTTGACAAATCAGCATTTTTTAACATAAAAAGTTAATTGAAAAGTTTCCAGTAATTGTAACAGAGATTGGCATTTTGATGTTTGAGGGAATGATACCACTTGGTGCCTTCAGGAGAACAGCTGTCCTAGTTTGTTCTTAAAAATATAATTAAACCATAAAATTTTAAAGCAGCTGGTGTATGCTGGGGAGACAAATAGCTTGAAACTGTGAAGTTAATCTTGATATTTGATCTGAATAAAATGTCGTGTTTTAGAAAATACAAGAGATGGAGGAAAGAAGAATCGTGAGGATAGGTGAATCCATGAAAACTTTCGCAGAGGTTGACCGCCAAGTGATCCCTATCATTGGAAAGTGTCTGGATGAAATAACAAAGGCTGCAGAATCAATTGATCACAAGAATGTAAGTGTTGTATTGTTTGGATTGTCGATTGTCACCTTTAGTATTGATCACTTATATATGGAGACTTCAATCCTGAGTCCAGGCTGCAGGACGAGAGCTTTATAGTCATGGAACTAAAACAAAGACTAGCTGCTTGTCCCGAGCTACTTTGTCTGAGGTAGGATGTGCTCAGATTACTTCCCAAATCTATTTAACGGCCAGAAATGTCTCTCCTGCCACACTTCTTTTCAATATTTTTTTTTCTTTAGGAAAATTCTCTGATTTTACTAGGATAATTACTTCTTGAAATACTGTAATTGAAAAATAGGCTTCTGCGTATAAGGTAGATGATAGGCATAATTCCAGATACCTGATGATCACCAAGTCTTATTCAGATGGGCTCTGTGTCTGACAGTCAGAAAACTGAATGTTGCAGAAAGGTCTTCATTCCAGATAATTTCGTAAGAATGGAAGTATTGGAAGTATTGGCTAAATAAATTATTGCAAACAACTCTGGCAAAGTTTCTACTTTAGTGTAAAATCTGTCTTTGCAGATTTGAGGTTTGCTAGCAATCTGTAAATGAGCTTTTGCAAATCTTTATTTCTGAACATCATTGTAGGTCTAAAAAGAAGCCTTCCTGTTAAAAAGACTGATAAAGAGTTTGGTTGAGCTTCCTGATGTACATTTAGCACGGGGGCAAATGTGTTTTCTGTTTTGTTTTAGGAATGATCTGCTTACTTCAGAAATGAAGTCTCTGCTTGCTCTTTCAGCCCTTCTCATGGATCACATTAGTGCTTCAAATACAAACAGCATGTGTCTTGCTGGCTGTTTGAATTTCTCGTATGTCTTTTTCACTGGAATCTCTTCTGAGCTATTCAGTGCCCAGAGCCTGGAGGCTTCCATTAATTGGCAGCATAAGCCTGAGGCTGAAGTTTTGAGATGAATCCACTACTTTCTGCTCAGCAATTGCTCTCAGAGAGCAGCATAGGAGACGAAGGAATCTGAAAATTACCCTTTCAGGGTAGGAGAAGGGGGAGTTGGGGCACAGATTCCCATGTTAGGACAGTGTACCCTGCTTGAGGTACAGCTTTTGGTGCTGCATGGTGAGATTGTGTTGGGGAGATTCATACCTAAGCCTACACTCTGCTTGAATCTTCAGGTGAGGTCTTGGCAACACACAAGCCAGATAAGTCAGAGTGGTGACTCGTGCGCGAGTATGACATTAGAAAATTGTTATTTTGAGCGTTGATAACTAAGGGATCTCCTGTAAACACCATGCTAACAAAAATGTATTTAGCCAAATTTGTTATATCTGAAAAAATAGAAAGGGTTTAGTGTGCTCTCTCTGGAAAACAGTTATGTCCATAAAGGGTTCTCTTTTCTTAAATATCATCAAGGATTTTTTTTTTTTAATCTCTGGAACAGTAGTTTCTAACTTTCTTGACTGTGATAAATGTAATATGCTTCTTCCTGTCCTTTTGTAGCATGTAAGCCCTGCCACTTTCTAAGGATGGCCATAGATGCACACAGTAGCAATTTAAAAGCTATATTTTCTCAATTTCCAGATAATGTACTGGTTTTGCTACTAATTCAGAGTATTACAGCAGACCTTTACCATCTCACCCCTTAACTTTCTAAGAAGCAAGTTTGGGCTCTGTTATGCTACCATCAGGAGAGTTCCCCCTTTTACTGGAAAGATTCAGATTGAAGGTTGTCTGCTTTACTCGTCTTTTCCAAGCTTGGAAAACTTTGGGTAGGAAGGGCTACGAAGATGATTAGGAAGGGCTACGAAGATGATTAGGGGACTGGAGCATCTCTCCTACAAGGAAAGGCTGAGGGAGCTGGGCTTCTTTAACCTGAAGAAGAGGAGGTTGAGAGGGATTCTCATAAATGCTTATGAATAAGGATGTGTGTCAAGAGGATGGGGCCAGACTCTTTCCAGTGGTGCCCAGCGACAGGACAAGGGGCAACGGGCACAAACTAAAGCACAGGAAGTTCCATCTGAACATGAGGAAGAACTTCTTCACTCTGAAGGTGATAGAGCCCTGAAACAGGCTGCCCAGAGGGGTTGGGGAGTCTCCTTCTCTGGAGATATTCAAAACCCGCCTGGACATGGTCCTGTGCAGGCTGCTCTGGGTGACCCTGCTTTGACAGGGTGGGTTGGACCAGCTGATCCACAGAGGTCCCTTTCAACCCCCGCCATGCTGTGATTCTTTGAAAGTCAACTAGATATGTGCTGTAGTCAACTTTGAAAATGAGGTCAGATTCCAGACAAGTTGAATGCAAGGACAGCTGGTGATGATATAGCTAGTACAATGGTGAGCAAAACCAAGAGCCTGCTGAGCAGGAAGAGCTTTGTGTGAAACTGTGGGCCCACACAGACATGTGTTTCCCAGCTGGGGGAAGATCTCCAGGATTGGTAATCATAAACAAAAGTACAGTATCACTAAACTTGAAATGTGTAAAGTCAGACAATATGACACTGACAAAAGGCAGTGATTCTTATTTAGCTCTTGGTGTCCTTTGTTTTTTTTTTTTGCCTTTTCTACCCAGCTAGCACATACAGAGTTACTTAAGAAGAAGAGAGGGTAAATTAAAGCTCTGTTCTTTGTGCAATAACTTCAGTTTTGAAACCAGAGCTTTAAATAGAACAGCCGCAACTAATACAGAAGGTATGTTGGTCAGAAAGAAAATAATTACAGAGAAAGCACGAATTCTAGTAATTTACCTTGTGTACCAAACTGTGTGTCAACTCTAGCTGAAAGGATGTAAGAACCAGCCAGTTCTGCAGCTTTTTTTTTTTGCTGCCAGTAAAATATTACCAGGTGGCACTACTGTGTAAAAAGGACAAACAAAATCCAAGCAGCAGAACTTTACGCTTCATGGAGGTATCTCGGAGCTTTTTGATGACCACTTTTCAGCTTCGGGTAGGTTTATTACAAACATTGGTCTGTGAAGGTGTGGTTCCTATGGTATCTGTGAACCACTATGATTTCTAGGATGAGAATTGTGTGTTATAATAGTAAGGAAGGATGTATTTGTGTAGTGACTTAGAAGCTGTGGACGTGCAGACTGCTAACAGGCTTCTTTTGCACAGCCAGCTCCGTGTTCCCTCCCTATGTGGATGCTAGCAGGATTGTGGAAGATCACTTTTCTTCCAGGGTCCCTATTTCGTTGGATAGTATTAAGAACCAGAATGACACGGGACAGATTTAAAACTTTCTATATTCTCTGCAGCTGAAATATTACAAAGTTCAGCCTCACGCCTACTGGCAAAATGGCCAGTCTTTCAGGCTTAGTTACTAAATCTGCAACTGTGTAAATAGGATTGCTTTAAGCCCTCACTGAAGTGTATAGAATTCCTGCTAACAGCAATGGAAACTGTCTGGATTTAGCTGGGAATACTGGTTAGCCCTGAGTTTCCAATGCAATAGTAAATATGCTTCTTTTGTCTCCTTTTTCCAACAACTTGGACAACACAGAGGTCATGTTGCCAGAGTAAGCAGTAGTGACTGCTGGGTGAACCTGTGCAGAGCTCGCTTCGGAAGGCTCTAGCAGCAGATAAAACTAATTTGTTACGGACTTTAGAGTTCCTGTTATGACATTATCTCTGTGATATATGGAGCATGTTGGTTATTTTTAGCTCCATTGTAGTGGAAGGATGTTTTGACTAAATGGAGGGAACACTGTAAAATTAAAAGGAAAAAATGAAAAGCTCCGTGCACAGGATAAAATACCAGTGTAACCTTGTGTGTGTTAGTAGTCACTTCTCTCTTCTTTCTTCGTCTTGCTTTCATGGCTATTATTAAAAATCTCAAATATATACATCTCAGGAAGTTTTTAATGTCAAGCTAGGATGAGATAATGGAAAGTGGTATTCTACCTCACTAAAAATTGTGTAGGAATTTCACAGTGCATCTGATAGTTGGAGGATCTTAGACCTGAATTTTCTTCACAATCCCATGAAGACTCTTGCAAAGCTTTGCCTATAGCTGTGTTTTGCTCGACTGAGCCTGGCCTCTGGATATGTTTATATCGCACTAGATTTCTCATTAAGAGTGTTTTACCTACGGACATGAGCAGAATCTGTGAAATGCCTTCAAAGCAACAAGTTCATCTTTTTTTATCTGAACAGGATGGTCCTACTCGGTCTCTGGAGGCTAATAAGATATTTGTGTGCTGTGGCACAGTTTCTCTAATGATCTTAGAAGAAAACTATTAGAACAGTATAACATAGAAAAGCTCTCTTGCCTAGAAGTCAAGCAGATGAAAAAAGTGTTAAAATAAAATTTTTGAGTCCATTAGGTTTAAATGCACTTGGTACGCTGAGGTCTGGATTTGAGGTTCTGTATAATTAAATATGTTTATAGACCTGACTAGGAAAAATGCTATATGTTGTGCTTTGGGTTTTTTTTGGTTTTTTTTTTTTTCCTCCACACCCTTGTCTGAAAGAGCAACACATTACATACAGTATATAGCCAGTGTATGGCTGACTTATATCTAGTAGTTAGTGCCAAAAGGGCTCGTGGCTTTAATGAGAGCATGTGGAGTTCGCAGCTGCTGCCTGCACCAAGGTGTTGGGCTGCTTGTGTGACCTTGGACTGCTCCATTGTTAGGTAAAGCTCGTGAGAGAAACTCCTGCGATTTACTGTGGCTGTGAGTTCACAATCACCAACTTGACGACTTACGGCAGTGTTAGCACTGAAGAGCTCCTTTATATGGGAGTCTTTATTGGGATTTTCTACTAATTTACTTACAGCTGCATGCCCAGCAATTCTATACCTTACATTTTTTTAATGAGTCACTTAAGTTATCTGTTTGGGTACTGAAGTATGATTGCTTTTCTAGTCAGTAAAGTTAGTAATAAGCTCTTTGTCATTTTCACCACTAAACATGATAAATCCTTTAAAAGATGTTTGTATCAGAACTTTGATTTTTGTGTTGGAAATGAAAGAAAGGGAATGCGAACATTGCCAGGTTGTGGTCAGGCTTAGGGGTTGCGCAGATCAGTGGAAGGTCGGAATAAGGAGACCTGAGTTTACTCTTCCTGAGCTCCTGAGCATCGTCTTTAGTTAACTACAATGACCTATACTTCAGTGATGTTGATGTATTTTTTTTGCTGTCCTAAATAGACCATAGTCCTCTGCTTTTTACCTGTTGGTATTTTGAGTAATGGCTGTTCTCTGTGATACCTTTGCAAAATGGACTAGAGTTTCGTTAACAGGAATAGTGGACTGTTGGAGACTAAAGCTCACCTGCTTTATTTCCATGGATTTTTTGTTTATTTAGAGATCTATTATGAAACTGAGATTTATGTTACCAGTTGTAGTACGCTCCGAATTACGTAGGTTGGAAACTTTTATTCTGTGCGGGGTAGTTTTTGTGTTCTTGCTGCATTTATCACCTGAGTACCTGGGAGCATTAAATTTTACACATCAGAGTGCCTTGCTTGGGTAGGATACTATGCTGTGCCTAGGTTGGGGTTTTTTGGTTTTTTGTTTGTTTTTTTGTTTTTTTGTTTTTTTTTTTTTAAGCACAGTGTGGTAGTGAAAATAGGACCAAGAAAAGCGCCCTGATCTTGTCTTGATCCTGGGCTCTGGAGCAGTGTTAGCTCCCAAGGATGAACCTGGGCACTGTGAGAGTTGCTTCCTGCACAGACGGACTTTCTTGTCCCTGTACTGTTTTTCTGTGCCACCAATTTGATATCAGTCCTCACCTGAGATGTTTACACTTGTACTGGATCTGTCCCATTCCAGGATTCCCAGCTGGTAATAGAAGCGTTTAAATCAGGGTTCGAGCCTCCGGGAGATATCGACTTTGAGGATTTCACGCAGCCGATGAAGCGGACGATCTCAGAATCCAGCCTTTCCAACTCCAGAGCGGATGGGAAGTCTGAGCCAAAGTTTGGTGGCAAATCCAAGGGCAAGTTATGGCCGTTCATCAAGAAAAATAAGGTACTGACTTGCAGACTTGAGCTTGGTGCTAGTATGTGTGTAGTTAATAACCTCTGTCTTGTCTAGTAATCTGGGCAATTACAAATTTTTAAAGAGACTTTTAGATAGTTAATAACTGATGTCTTAATACGCTGTTTTGTTGTAGTCTTTGGTTACTTAAGTTTCTTTATATCTTTAATTTTTTTCTTGTATAATTTCTTTAATTATGTTGCTTTTTTATATTAATTTATCTGAAATTGTCACGTCTCTGCCATGGTCCATTTCTGTTCCTAACTCAGAGAAGGAATTGCGTACCACTTACCTAGTGCCATATGTGCGAACTAACATTGTTACATTGGGGAAGCTTGAATGGGCTGTTACTGTTTGACACTTCTAAACCTGTCCTTGGCTTTTCATTTGCATTATCTTTTCAGTCTCTGCACAAAAAAAAGTTGGGTGGCTGGGTACAAGGAATTGCTGCGATTCATTCTTAAGCACAACTAACGGAGCATAACTAACTGAGCAGTTGACTTTTTAAAAAGACCATGTTAACTTATGTATCCATTAAACCTTTTTCATTTCACTGTCATATTTTACACCATAATGCATGGCAGCATTTATCTGGGGTTACCAGAAGGCATCAGGGTGACTGGACTGACCTACTGGACTGGGTGACTCAGTAACATTGATGGAAGCCCAGAGCAGCTTTGTTGTTTTGGTCTCGCCCTTGCTCTGACCCTTACCAAACCACTTCTAATTAGACTCCAAAAATGTACTTGTTCAAAATGGGTCATTCGTGTTGTGCTGGTAGAAGAGAGAACTCGGCTCTCTGGTGCTTACATCAGTGTAGCCAGAAACACAACCCAGGACCACCTCCTGAGCAAATTCGTAGGATAATTTGTGAGAGTGAAGTGTGATGCACATTACTGAGGTATGATTTGAAAGCAGGAAGGAATGTGGTTTGTTGTTTTCCAGATAATAGAAACGCTACTGGGCACTAAGGTACCTTCCTTATCTGATCCATTTAAATTCAGGTATTTGAAAGCTCTATCCATATGCATTATTTTGAGCTGTCCACAGAGCGAGAACAGGGCAATTTATGGGGATAGTGCTGCATGGAAGAGTCTGCATGAGCTTCCTGTCAAAATACTTTCTGTTATTCTTCTGTTGCATCACTTACTAAAACTTCCATTTGTCAATCCTTCATTTACCGCAACTCTTGAATACGGCTTTCCCCCTCTTTTGAACCATGGCCTTTAATATTTAATTATTTAATTGTTTTTTTTCTCTGGATTTCAAATATTGGTTTTGATGCTTATTTTCGTTTTGTGTTTTATCTTTTTATTTTGGTTTTTATTCTGTCACTTCTCCATCTCTTATACGTAGCTTATGTCCCTTTTAACATCCCCCCATCAGCCCCCTCCTCCTCCCCCTGCCTCTGCCTCACCCTCTGCTGTTCCCAACGGCCCCCAGTCTCCCAAGCAGCAAAAGGAACCCCTCTCCCATCGCTTCAACGAGTTCATGACCTCCAAACCCAAAATCCACTGCTTCAGGAGCCTAAAGCGCGGGGTAAGTTCTCCTCTGGATACCTCTCTCTTGCTCTTTTCTTTCTTTCTTGCGCTTTTATTGCACGTTCTGTTATGTAAAAACTTGTTTTGTTTTGTGAATGAATCCATTGTGTTTTATCATAACATGCAGACAAATCCAAGGAATCCCAACCTATAAAGCCATTTGTAGTCAAAAACCCCACAATGAAACCACAAAAAGTGCAGTCGCTGATGGAAATTACCCATTTGGGTTTGTTGGGGAGGAGGGATTGTCCAAAGTATGGAAGGAAAAGCTGAACAATGAGCAATACTCATGTAAAAGTCAGTCGTTCATTTAGTAGCCCTGCGTATGTCTATGGCAGAGTAGGTTTGGAGGAGCACCAGTCAGGGGGTTGCTCTGATCCTGATGCTGCATGTTGTCTACCTTAAAGTAGGAAGTTTTCCTTTCTGCACAGTGGATTCAGCTCAATGTCTGTGTCAGGAGGAGGAGAGTAAACTAGGAGTGATTCTAGAAAATAAGTCTTCTGACTTCAGTTGGTGCAAGCTCAGACATTTCCCTGAAGTGATCTGACACGTTGCTGTGGTACTGGGAAGGTGGCTTCCCTGGATTTTACTGCCAAGTGTGCTTCTGTGTGTGACTTCTGTTCCAGAGGCTCAGCCTCAGCCCGTGCTTCAAGCGCTGCAAGCTTAGCTTGCTTAGTAAGTCTGAGTCTTAAGATAAGAAAATGGGTGAGATGTGAAAGGTGAACTGATTCTAGGTGGTAAAAAAAGTTGTTTATATGGTACATGTGTGCTTTAAACCTGGGCTGCCATGTTGGTGGAGACTGTGGGGAACGACCGAATTTAATATTCCCTGCAGCTACATAGATGTGTCGATTGCAGCTGGCTCTAAATATGTGGGGCTGATGCTTCTCAAGGACCTTAACTGCATCCTGTAGCAGGGAGTGTCAATAAGATGTGAAGGTTTGGTTTGATTCCTGTAGACAGCAGAAGAAATCAAACCTTCCCAACAAGTTTCTTTCACATCTGCGTTTGGGCCTCCTGGAGCAGATGATGTGGCTTGAACAGCACTTAATGTGCATAGAAGATTTTAAATCCTGCCATGCTCTGTAACTTGTTTCCTTATTAGTTCTAAATGCGTTTTTTCCATAGCTTTTATTCTTGATGCTTTAAATGTCAATGAAATATCTTCACAAAAATACCAAGTTGAAAAACTATTTGTAACGGCCACCAACAGCTGCCATTCTTGCCAACTGTGAAGGACAGATACATGTGATGAACCATTGCAAGGCTAGGAGAAAACTTTTAAGTTCCATGTTTGACTTGTCCTTGCAGCCTTCCCTACATGTATTAGCATGCAGAATTGTAGGCACCACGTCTTTTTCTGGGCATTTCTAATGAAGTCCACAGATTTTGTTGGTTTCTGAACTGAATTTCCTTCCCAGTGCTGTGATGCATCCAGTTTAAAGTGGCATTCTGGCTGCAAAACCTTTATCAGCCTACCATGCGAGTTCCAAAACATGGGTGAGATGTTTTGAGGGATTAGGTTTTGGGTTTTTCCCCTGCCAGCGGCTGAAGTGCAGTGTGTTAGATGCCGGTTTATGCACCGTACAGTGCAGAGAAGCTGAAAGCCTCCGTGGCTGACCTTGGGGGTTCACCTGGCTCTGGATCAAGCTGGATCAACATTTTCTTTCACATCTCCACTGTTGCAAGTGCAGTGTCCCTGTCTCCTTTCCTGCTGATAGAGTAGGAAGCATGGCCGGAGTTTTCCCAGGTCAGCTGCGTTGTTGCTGACAGCAGCTGTGGCTCTATTGGTAAGCTGGTGGTCAAGTGTTTGTGTTGAATTAAATGCTCTCATTGGTGGTCTTCATAAGCAGTAAGTAAAAGGACAGGTTCCCAGAATAAAATTTTCCCTTTTTTCAAACAAAAAGAAGGCTTTATCTTTCCAGAAGCTCGCACGTGCCGCTGTTGTGCTGAGAAGTTGCTGGCATAGCATGGCTTTGGCTCCTAGGTTAAGGTCTTTAGAATTATTTCCTCCTATAAAAATTACAGGAAGGAGACACAAGTGTTCAGTATTTTAAAACGTGTTTCAGAGCAGGCTGTAGCAGCAAGGAAGTGACTATTTTAAAAAGCCCAAATTCTGCTCCAGGGGCTGCACTGACATTTAGGTCTGAGGGCTGGAGTTGGGTAAAAGTAGAGATGATTTATTTCAGTGGGGAACTTCAGGGGTGAATTACAGAGAATTGAGAACAGTGCTGCAGACAAGATTTTGTCTCATCTGGTTGCAGACAGTACGTTTTAAAAAAACATGTTTTGTACAGAGTGATTTTCAGTTCTTTGCTAGGGAATTGCCAGTTAATGGGGCATTCGGAACCCAAAAAAAATCCTGTTACTGGTGCTTTTCACTGGGGAAGCGGGAATTTTCTAAGCTGTCCAAAGGCAGGTTCCATAAATGTACCCCCTTCCCTCAGTTGCAGTTTGGGTCAGAGCATCTTTTCTTGGTGGCCTTTATGGGAGGAGACAGTCTTTCGGTTCTCCTTCTGCAGCAGCAGACCTGGAGGACGTGCTAGATGGTGGCTGTCTCGGTGCCAGCCGCTGTGGCAAGCGGGCGGCTGGCAGTCGTCCCCGTGTGGGGTAGCACTGAGACACTGGGGAGCGGAAGGCACCGCTGAAGGCGAGGTGCTCCAGTAGTGCCATTCACAGAACAGAATATTAAAAATACTGCTAAATATTTCTAACTTGGTTTAAAAATACCAATTTGTAGTTCCATGGGCACTTCACAAGTTTGTATTTCAAATGTACAAATTCTAGTTTAGTGAGTGTTTGGCCGTACAGGCAATGATGACTAATTGCTTTCAATATTTCCTGAAGAAAGGCCATTACTTTATGTATTAACTAGCCGAGAAGTCCAAGCAAGCCTCACAAATCCTGTGTACCATATTGGCTTTAAGTGGTTTATGTGAAAGGTGAAATAATGAGAACAATTTCCTATAGTCTTCTCTGAAATCCCTCAAATTTCTACTGACATGTTCATTAAAAATGTGCAAGGAAAGGCTATTGCTAAATCTTCATTTAAACCTTTCACTATGTTCTCTTTCTATTTCATTTCCTTCCCCTGTTAGCTACCAGGATGTTTGTATGTAAATACTTCTCCTCCCTGACTCATCCCACAGAGCTGGAGGCCAGTGTTCAGATCATCGTCTCTTGATCCAGAGGGGAGAGTTCGGGCCCCTTGGTTCATCTAGAAATACGGAGCGGGACAGGCTGCAAAGCTCTGGCAGCTTGCTCCGTCTGATTTGAAAACTTGTCAGGTTCACATTTCATAGGTCCTTGGTGATTTGTTGTACAAATGGTCAGACTGAAAGATCATGAAAATGCCGTATGACCTTCAAAAGTAAAAGAATTATAACCAGGCAAAAAATAAATCAAGAACCACTCCCAAATCCTGTTAATTTATCAGATGAAAAATGAGTGGTTGGCATTTGTTTCAGCTGATGTGGTTGATATGACCCACTTTATATTCAGTACAGCCAGATAATACTGTTAATTCTGCTTTTACCGTATTAAGTTTTATAAGATTTGCTTTGCTCGATTCCTCTCCATCCCCCTGCCAAATCCAGAAGATTCTGAATTTTGCTCAGGAGCATGAGCGGTAATGTGACAAATACTGGATTGCGATGTTACCACAGAAATCAGGAGGACGTAGAGAAAATTGTCCTCTACACAGAAGTACATTTGATCTGTGCAGAAATACATCAGTGAAGCAACTTTTGGAAAGGTTGTGCGGGGAGCCAGCAGGACAGTACAATGTAACGGGTGTTTGGCTTCGGACACTGAATAATTTCATTTGCTCTGAATATTGTCTCCGCACTGCTGGTTTTGTTCAGAGACAAAATCCCACTAGAGCCAGACACCTTGCAGTAAAGATGGCCACAAGGCATTTTAAAGTATTATTTTAGAGTATTTGACCAAATTGTCAAGCCAGGTTCTTCCTGGCTTTTTGATAAACGGAGCTGTTAACTCCTACAAAATCTGGAGTAACAATTTGCTTATTTCAGAGGAAACTGGATCGTCCTTCTTTTTTGCACTGGCTTAAGGAAGAAGTACTTGAAAAGGAACTACTTAATGTGAACAAGTCTGGTAGATACTAAGACCTTAACAGGATAAATGCCACCAGCAGAACTGCACGTTGTAATTGATCCTTGAAACATAAATGAGTGAATGGATTCACGTACAATTCCTCCGTGAAATCTTTGATATCAGAATGTGTCTGGAGAGGCAGGATGTTTTCGTAACTTCCTTATAAAGTTTTGGATTGGCACCTTAAGTTGCATTTGAAAAGAGAAATTATGAAACTAAAGCAGAAAAATCACTGATGACTGTTAAAATGAATTGTATTATTAGTAATGATATGTTCTGTGCCCAGTCCGGTTTTATTTCTGCTTCCAAACCAAAAATTCAATGAATCTTGTTTTCATAGAAGGAAGCAGATGCCTGGACAATTGACAACAGATGCAAGGTTAATATAGAGGTGCCAATACCAGTATCAGTGGTCACGGCCCATATGAAATCCTAGCCAGTTTGGGGGGAAAAAAAGAAAATTAGGCACTGACTCTTGTCAGTGTCTATGGTTTTCTAATTGCATTTTTGTGTTTTCCTCAAAGCTTCTGTCTTCTAACCCCAACAGCAGAAATGTCCATTGTAGAAAATATTGTAGAACCATTACAGCACTTGTCATGCATCAGAACTAGAAGGGGGGGGATAAATCTTTTACACAGTTTTTGAAAGTGCTGTTTCTAATAACTCTTTTAAAAAGCAGCATAAAAGTAGTATAACACTTAAAATCAACCCTGTCGCTTTAGAGAAGTTAAAGCCAGAAGAGTACGAAGAATGAGGAACCACTTACATAAGTCATAATTTCATTTGTGCTTGCTCTGCTTTTTCTAATTCCATTTTGAGGACAAAGAAGACTCGGTATTCTGCTAGTTGACATTAATTTTGTGTTCTTTTGTTTTATTGCTATAGCAGCAGTAACATTAGCAGCTTTATTTAAAGCGCAATACTTTTGAACTGAAAAATCCAGGGGTAGAACTTACGCCTTTGAATTGCAGTGTTGCGCAGACTTGCCTTTCCTCTCTTGCCTTGGAGACTGGGTTGTGGTGAAGCAGAGAGGACAGGGCTGGGAGCTGGGACGCGGGTATTACTGTCATTACTCAAGTGCCAGCCTCCAGGCGGTTCCGTAAGGCACACGGGGGGACTTTTGTGGTTTCCTTTTTAGTGGAAGTTGTTGACTTCGTTACAATGTGATTTTATTTCCATTGCACCAGTTAATGTTTTCCCTTACCATCCTGTCTTGCCTCTGTGACATACTGTGCAGCCTCCTCCCTCCACACTTAGCTGTTGGTCTGCCTGGGTGATCAGTGCTTTGTTGTTCTGTGAGCATGCAGAAACAGCAAACAAAACAAACCACCTCCTCTCCTACCTGCTCTGTTCCCTGCCCCTGGAAATACTTGTTATTCTAATGTAAGTGTACAAATCTGTGCCAAGACCAGGATTTTTTGGCGGGTGGGGTCGTTAAAGCCATGGTTTATTCTAGCACAGAGACAGACACATTTTCTGACCTTGTGTATGTAAGCTACCATTTAAAAGTACAGTATTTTCTGATTTTCATGACAATGTTAAACTCTTAATATTTGCCTAGTTTTTAGGAAGCTTCTACTTTGCGCTTAAAGGCTAGTTAAATGCCAAGCTGTCTTTTGCTGTAGAAGCAGTAAACACAGAGGTGCCGTGCTCGTCTCCAGTGTAACGGATGTGTTTTCTCTTGCTGACTCACCAGCAGACACAGTCTTTGTATATTCACAAAGAACTCATGAAGAGGACTTTAGGGACACCCACGTGTGCCATTGAGGCTAGGGAATATGTTGTAAGTCCGTGTATGGTGTGATCAGCCCATACCGTTGCTGCACAGTCGCTAACCCCACTTACAACGCCGTTAGTGTGTGCTGTGGAAATGTGCTTTGTAAAAGATAAAACAAAAATTTGGTGGGACGCAAGTTGCAGCTTGCTGTGTTATTTGCAGGAAAGATACGTCTGCTAGTCCTGGAAATGCTGAAATTGGCACAATTAAAGTAGCTGGACCTGTGAAATTCAGAGTTAAGTACTACAAACAGGTTCCATGCATTTATTCTAAATTATTCGACGAATGCAGTCTTGAGCATCATGAGCCGACCCCTGATTTACAGTAGTGTGGCAACATGTTCTGTCCCTTGGTCGTGGAGCACTCCGTGGAGCTTTCTGAAGCTTCCCTGAACTCTCTGTAACGGTGATGGTTCATGGAATCGAGATACGTGACCTCTAAATCTGATACCCAGATAAAGCAGAGCATGGGGAGATTGTTACGGGACCACTAGGAAAGAAAATTATTTCTTGGTTGTAGGGAAGTCCAGTGATATATTTCAACCTTGTTTTCTGTAAGTGAGGTTAGTGTCCGTGACTGTCCAATAACACATGGACTTGCTGGCTTTCATGCTCTCTCATGTGTTATTGAAGCTTGTGGCTCTTAGGCTCTTCATTTTCTCCCTGCAAGACTAAGCTAGATTTGTTTTAAATTGGCAGCTTGAAACTGATTTGCTCACTTTGAAGAGATGTAATTGATTTGATCATTTGAGGGAAAAATGCCCCTGTTCTCCCGGGAGCTGTGAGCAAGTTTCTAGCTGTGAAAACCCAACAGAATGGACAAAAGCAGTTATTTAGTTTGTAATGCAGATTTATGTTCAGTCTGCTTATATTTGTTTATAGAAACCAAATTGTTTTCATGTAAAATCATGAATACATTTCAGAAATGGAAGAGACTGAATATCACTTATTTCAGCATTTCATTGTTTCCAGTCTATGATCTGCTTTGTTATCTGTACTGGTTATAACAACCCCTGACGTACTATTTGGAAATGCCATTAATAAGTTCTCTATTTTTGTCGTACTTAACAGCATAAGAATTCGGCATACAGTGTCTGTAATCCTTCTCAAATTTGCTGAATTTACAGCAAAAGAATAGTCTTGATGCAGATGATTCTTCGCAGTAGTGTAGTGCCTTTAGAGTGAGTAGTGTTTAGAAACTAGCGCATGTAGCATACATTTGTGCCTTTTATAGAGTGCTTCATAGGTAAATATTTATTCCGCACCATGAGTCTTGTCTGTATATATGTACAAGGATCTCGGTTTGCGCTGATCATGTCTATGCCAAAGTTCACAGGAGTGCTAAAGCAATTATGCAAACAAAAGCTGCCTACACTGAATTTCTTCAGCAGCATATTTTAGCTCATTCTTTCTCCTTCCTGTATGATTATTCTCTCAAGTGAGTTGGTTTTGTTTGCTTTTTTTAACGGCCTCTTAGCTGAGAGGGTGAGTTTCTTCATTGCACGGTGATTATTATCATGTGTTTACTTCCTGATGGACTGAACTGAGGGAGGTTTAACTACTGTATCAATTCAAATGGAGTATTTTACTATTTATTTCAAGGCCACATATTTTCCTTGAGTGGTTGGCTTGTATTACTATACAAATTCTGGTAACTAATGGTAATTGTTATTTTTCAAAAATTTGTAGTTCTTAAATTATACTGTCAGAAACATCGTCGGCGTGAAGCCACCTTTGTTTTAAATCCAATCCTGAAGGGCTGTGCTTTTGCTCGAAATGGCCCGTCTGTGTGAGAGCCCCACACCCAGGAGCTGTGGTAGTGAGAGAACGGACAACTCCTGAATGGGAAGATGTTCAGAAGCCTGACGGTGCGGATCGTGGCCCAGAGCGAGAGGCCTTTGCCAGCTTATGCATTTGATCTGTATTTAACAGCGAGCGTGTGCATTTACAAGCCTGTTGCATAGTTTGAGCATTTCACAACTGTCCCCAGAGAGCTGGGAGGACAGGCACAGCGCAGATTGCTGGAGGAGGAGGCTGACCGTAGTTTTGATTCCCCTTTAAAATCTGGCGTTATATCGTGGACAGCGGCTAACTTGTGCTCCTCGGCACAGAACAGAAAAGCAACGCAGCGCTGAGCATTTCCCTGTCTCCTTGAAAACCTGCTGAAGGTCGGCTCCTTTGCTCCCCGGGCGGTTTCTGCAGCCCCCCAGCGCTGCTGTCGAGAGCTGTGTGTGCAAGCGACGTAGGGCAGAGGCAAACCACGCTGCTGTGCCGGCTCTGCGAGCACACGCTGCGCCTTAGTCTCTGACTTCCCCAGAGTAACTAAGAGAGAACGTTTTGGCTCTGTGCCAGGACATGTGGTCACCTTTGAAGAATTAGATCAACGTGTATCATTTAAGGAGCTTGAATAATGTCTTGCCGTGCTGTCATAGAATCAATTTGGTGTAAAGAGAAGAGGGTTTTTTTCTTCCTTCTTGGTCCTGACCTTGTCTGACCGCACAGCCGAAGTACGTTTGAGACTGAGTATTTGTTTTTGAACTGTTCTAGAACATGGAATGATTTGGCGTGACTGCCCGGACAGCACTGTGTGCGATCAGCAGGGATGTTCCGGGGATGGTGTCCTCTGGAGGGCTTTCCTGAGAGCTAGGACATCGCTGGAGAGCCCGTCCTGCTTTTTGCAGCTGGCGGCCGAGCGCCGTACCGTCGCTCTTCGCTGAGCTGTGGCTACGTGTTGCCCCTTGCCCTTAAGGCCTGGGGTGAAGGGGCTGATGCTCCTGGCTGCATTTAGCACGTTTTTGATCTAAAGTGACTTGCATACATTTGCAAGTTCTGAGCTTTTTTCCACTTCTGAGGCATTACTGTCATGCGAAAAATCTCTGGTGTTGTAGCTGCTGTAAATAAGGCAACCCAGGCCGGATTTTCACCTGCAGTGCTAAAGCACGTGTGTAGAGGTAGAACCCTTTTCCATTTCTGTTTCTGGCGAGGAAACGGCAGCTGACTGATAACGCTGGCCCATCTTGTGAACTTTTGCACAGATTCGTTAGTGTTACCCATTTTGCCTTCCAACAGCAAGGGGATTATGTGTCATTTTATTGTAACATCAGTCTGAAAAAGTTCCTCTTCTACTGATGCACTGTTGTTTTTTCTCTTTCTCCCCCCACCCTGTATCTCTCCAATTTTTACCTGAAGCTTTCTCTCAAGCTGGTAAGCACATTTACAGCATGCCTGTCCTGTGTTTTAATCACAATTTTCTGTGTGTGTTTTAATGTGCACTGTGCCACATATGACATGACACTGAAATTAACTGTTAAATTTGTTTCTTCTTTGTGTTTGCTTTTTTTGATATTTATCAGATAACTCTGAATACACAGGTCTGGAGTCTAATAGAGGTGATCAGAATTCAGTCTTTCTAATAAGCTGCTAAAAAATTAACTCTAATATATAGTTTAGGATTTACTTTTATAATCTAGGGCTATGAAAATGTAGAAAAACAGTAATGAATAATTCTGCTGTATGTCTTTTTGTGTAACACAGCTGCAAAGTTTGCTTTCCATGTCCAGATATTACTGGAAATCTACATCATTATCACCTACATTTTACAGCCCTATGTAGTCCTTCAGAATAACTAATAATGATATTAATTAAAGTTCTGTAAACCTTAACCAACAAGGTTAACTCAGTCTGATTTGAATTCACATATGGAGAGATAGACATATATATGGATCCTAAATTCTGTCTCGGATGCAGCTGGGAAGGTTTCTTGAACTACGGTAAGATAATATGTTACTGAGTTGGAAAGGGAAGGGGTGAACATATTTGGGAAAGCAAATGATGTGCTGGACTGTATTGCGTGAGATACTCCATGCCTTGGTATGTTCCTGACAGCTTGTCTACATTGCTTTGCCCTTCGAGAGTCCAGTCCCAAGACGAGTGCGACTGGTTTGCTGACCCACTTCACGCCAGCATGCAGGAGCTGCAAATGACTGCAGTGTCAGAGAGTTTCAGAGGATCTGCAGTAGCACCTTAGCTGCATTAGCTTGAAAGTTTTCTTACTCTTCACCAGTCAGTGCCTTTAGGTGCTCTCCCCCCTACACATACCTTGTTCTTGGATACATCATTGTGGACCTGTTCTGTTCGTAGCAGCTAAGTTGGAGGAACTGCATGGGCCACGAAAGCTACTTGCTGTAGCTCTGGAGGCTGCAGGTCCTGCTGCTGCTCTGTCAACACAGTGACTTACTTGGGCTCCATTAGCAATATCGCTTCTCACTCAAGACCTGTGGTAGGCCTCAGGAATGATGGAAATATCGCGCTTACTTGCAAACCTTGTTCTTTTGGCTGGTAGTCCAATGCACTTGTACCAGGCCTTTCCATCTGTTGTTTTCCTGGTCACAATGCTAGTGTGTTGTGTAGCTGAGCTAAGCCTTTGTATGTGGGAATATACCCTCCCAAAATAAATGGCTGACCTGGCTTTTCCCCAAGTATTGCATGAATCGGAAAGATGTGCAGAGAGGGCTGAGACCTGTGTGTGCCTTCTGCAGAGCAACCCAGCTTGTTTGTAATTTCTTCTTGGATCCTAGCTGTGTAAGCCAAAACTGGGCTGATGAACCTCGCACTCCCCCCATACGTAGCTTCAGCCCAGAAGCTGGTCCTAATGCGGCCACTTTTTTGACAGTCCTTCATCCTGGGACAATTTGCATCCTAAATCCCACTATCTTTTATGCAGTGAAATCTAGTGAGCACTGGCTCTGCTGGTCCTATGATAGCACATCAAAAATAGCACAGATTTCCCCCTCCCACCTCACTGTTCAAGCATTTCTAAAAATGCAGGCAATGCTCACTACTTGAGAGCGCGCCCTGGTGTTTTTTTGCTTGAGAGCATGAAAGGTGCCCAGCATGTGCAAGAATTGCTCCTTGACTCTTCCTTTTGGAGGAGGAACTGTAGCTTCTGTTACGATGGGAACTTACTGAGCATGGAATAAAATCTGAGTGAGGTCACCTAGTCTCAGGCATGCATTTCTGTGCAACACTAATGCTTTGGTCTGCAGCCTTGTGAACAAAGGTACTGAATTTAGTCCAGCCTAGAGCTTTTGAATGAAGTTGAAGAACCCAAAAGAAGATGCTTTTCCAGATTCATTTGACTCGCATCTATTGCATTCTCGTGATGTATAACTGGGGATATTTTCAAGCATCTCTGTCTCTTTTGCTTAGAAGTGAGAAGATGTTATATAGTCTTTTGTGTAACTGCTTGTTTATTTACAAAGCTATATCCAGATGCTTTGCCTTAAAAAGATATGTATGGCTTTAGTGTGTAGATTATCTGTAAAATACATTGAATCACTCTCGTGTCTAATGTGATGCGGGAGTTACTGTCAAGCAAAATATTATTACCATTAAAGAATAAATTAAAATAGATCTCTTCTGTACCATGCACAACAAGTAGTGTAAGTGCTGCTAGGACATCATGTGGTTAAAGTTTCAGAATGAGTGTAACTTAGTTGTTTCCTTCATTTGTCTTACAGTTGCTTTCTCATTGTCTCATGAAATGGAATTTTCAGTGTATTATTACACAGATGGTCAAGGCTTAACTAGATTCACATGCTGTCTTCTGCTGAAAATCAGGATGGCAGCAATTTCATGAGGTTTGCCTGTTAAATGGCTAGACCAGAGGAGAAGGTGGCCTGTCTGGAGTTGTCCTCCATCCTCTGACACCCACGCACTTTCTTTCTAAACAGCTTGTTCTGCAAATGCAGAAGAAAGAGTGCACTGTCTGGGAGCACATTCAGTGCAGAGCTGAAAGGGTCTAGTGGGCAGCTTTTGTGGCAGTTTCCACTAAATCACACTCCTCTCAGAGAGAGATTTGGCATTTCAGTAAGACTAATGTTGCAACTCTGCTCACAAGCTTTCAGTAAGCTGATGGGCCATTGAATTTGGTTACTTAGCTCTGTGTTTTCACCCTTCTTTCTCCTATAGGCCAGTTTTCCCCCTTAGAAATGGGAGGTGGAATGAGCAGAAATCAAAACGAGAAAAACCTGTACAAATTCAAGACTATGTACAAGAACCTCATTCCTTATTGTGCAACTAATTAGTATTGATGTGTGCTCAGTATAGCCACCCCAGACTGTCCCCCTTGCCTGCTTACAAGACAAAAATAGGTGGTACTTTGAAGAAAATAGTATGGATGTATTTTGTGTCATCTATCTGCTATATCAAATTGAGGCAACCAAGAAGAGGCATAGCAGTTTGAAGGCAGAAAAGGGGTTTTGAAGCAGGATCACACAAAGGTAACCACTGTGGTCTTCAAATGTTTTTTGTTGGTTATGATTTCCAATTGATTGATTCTGTGGCTTTGATATAACTCCTGCCTAGTACAAGTGAGCAAGGAAAAATTGAGAGACTTTGACATGGAATGTGGATCCTGGAAAGTATGCAGCATGTTTTTAAATTGCAGAATCCCAGAGGAAACACTTCTATTAGCTTCATGTGTTCAGGAGACCCCTGACCTAAATCAACTGTATAGGACCAACACTCAGACTATGCAGAGCAAGCCAGCAATTAGTAGAGCACATGAGAAGCGCGACTGTGACACAGGAGTGAAAACTAGCAAGTGCTTTTATGTGGATGCTGTCTGAAGCAAAGTGTAGAGGAAGGCGGGAAAGATCAGCCTTACATGAGAATGGAACTCTGTTAAATAATATCTGATGATAACTATGGATAAAAATAGTTTCTCAGCTTTGCCGTTGAATTCTGCCATTCTTTAGTTGGTGATCTCCCATTAGCCATTTGGAACTGGGATGTAGTCCTGAGATGACTTCTAAGGTGTACAGATTCCTGACCATTCAGAGGGTGATAACTGAGCACAGACAATGACAGTGCTTCAGACCATTGTGATTTTGGACAGATTTGAGAGCTGTTTACAGAATGCAATCCTGAAGGATTCTTCTGGGCTCTGATTTTTGGTTTTCTTTTTTTATTTCCCCCACCTTCCTCCATTCCACTCTGTGCAGGGAGCAGGACCGGAAGACTTCAGCAATCTCCCACCTGAGCAAAGAAGAAAGAAACTTCAGCAAAAAGTTGATGAACTGAACAAAGACATTCAGAAGGAGATGGATCAAAGGTACGTTAGCCCCCTGCAGTGAAAAATGAAATAGGTAGCCTTATATAGGAAAACAGAAACAGCTAGCATAGAAGAACAAGGTTCTAGGTTTGTTTAAGGTGGTGTTCCAAGGAAGGAGGCAGCAGAGGGTTACATACAGCTAAAAAGACCTGAGACATGCAAGGCTCTCCACAGCTCGGATTCTGATACTTGTTATTTAATTTTGGCTGATGTTGTTCAGAGGTGGGGCAAAAGCTGGCGCTCTCTTTGTTCCATTCTCCCACCTCACTGTAATGGGTATCCTGTCTTTGGAATCATGAGGTGAGAAGATCCAGCTATAAGGATGGGAATGGTAGAAGTGAAGCTATTGGAGTCAGTTTTTCCTTTTTTCTGGAGCTGCTTTCTTGGTCTTTTGCAGGAGAGCAGCGATTTAATCGTGAGCCAGGCAAAGATCACGATTGTTTCTTGGTGTGAGCTGTTCCTGAGGGTGTGTTTTTAGGGAAGATACAGGATGTAAATACAGCCTCAGTCAGAGGTACAGCCATCAGCCTCTCGGCACTAAGAACAGTGCCTGTTACTGTATGATGCGCATGGGTAGATCCCAACAAGAGAGGCTCTTGCGAGCATGGTAACATCGTCAAAAGGTCTGACTGATTGGTGTATAGCTTAAGGCTTTCTAATCTGTAGCTTTGATTTCCTGGAAGCAGAAAGATGACGACTCCTGTGCTTTTGTGGATGCTTTTTCTGCAAGGCTTAATTTATCATTCTGTTTGAGAGTAAGGCTATTTTAGTTACACCCTTTTCATTGATTCTGGCAGCCTGTATTTGTTGCTTTGTGTTTGTTCACATTCTACAGTTGCGTTAAAGATTGAGCCTGTTGTGTTTGCAAGAGACAGAACTTTTCTTCCCTGAATGATTTCAAGACTTAGCCTCTCCAGTACTAGTCTGTACCTAAACACTGCTTTGCGTTTGTACGGATGCGCCTACATTTTCTGCTAGCTTGCTTTGAAGAACCCATTTATTTTGTTTAGTAACCCAAACTTTCTTCTTTGTCTTTTATATCATGAAGAGGAAAGGAAAACTGCACATGGTTATATGATTTCTCATTGCTTTGTTTTTTTTCCTCTTTGGTAACTTACACTTGTCTCTGTACAGATTTTCCTTTCTGCTCTGTATTGATTCTGAGGTAACCCAACGTTAAAATCAGATACGAAATCAGAACAGAATGAAGTTTATTTAAAATAAGGATAGTATATGATAGAGGAAGTAGCACCAGCAGTTAAAGAAGAGTTAAAAAAAGTAGTAATAATCATGACTCATATGTTTGCAATATTGTCTCTTAGGGCTTCAACCACAGCACAGTCCCACTTCCTTGCCACCCACACTTACTCCCATTTTCTGTACACACAAAGCAAAGGCAGGCACAGGATTGCAATTGTCAAGAGTTTGGTGGGAAACTCTAAAATATAAAGAGTGTTAACTTGAGTCGTGGGACTCACATTAACCTTTCTCCCCCCCAGCTAATGCCTAGAGAAAAGCTGAATAGCTGTGCCAGTAATACAGGAAATCAGCTCTGAAGTCCACCCTTCTCTAAGCTCTGAAATGTCCATCATCATGCAGAGAACTTTTTTCCTGGAAGTTCAGCCTCAACTTGACTGGGGTCAAAGGCAGCACATTGCTGTCAGTGAGAGCTCCGCAGGCTTTGCTTGGGGAGCTCGTGAAGGCATGTACGACGTTAATCTTGGCCTTACGGTACGACATTCATCATAGCAGGCCTTAAATTTAACAACTCTGAAACCTTAGGCGTTTGGCATCTGGTTTGATACGAAAGACAGCCCCCGGAAGGAGTCTAGTAAAAATGCTCTGTAACTGAGCAGGATGCAGGGTCTCGTTATGTGGCTTAGGGTCCATCTGTCACAGTGCTGTGACAAATGCAAACCATCTGGATTTAACTTCGTTTTAAGCAGTGTGGAATAAATATCTGACGAAGTATTTGGGTTGCAAAAGACAAAATGCAACAGGCAGGGTGAGAATTTCCGGTTAGCGCTGCATTTTTATTATTAATACGTCCATCTCCAGCTCTTTGTCCCAGTTTCTCAGCTGGGTTTCAGCCCATGATGGAGAATAATGATGCTACTGTTTCTGTGCCCCAAAAACTGGGATGATGCTTATCTAGAAAGCTGAAGCTGTCATTCATTGCAGTGGTTGCGAGATGATTTTTTTTTTATTATTATTATTATTTTTTCCACAGGGTTAGCAAATAGACATTATAGTACTAAATAAAAGAACGTGTCAGGCTAGAAGTCAATACCAAATTCTTCCTTTGGCCTTGCACAAGGCCACTGTCCAAGAATTCAGTCGTTTTTCTGCCAGGGCTCTTCAAGCGGGGCACATGGAGCTTGAATCATTTGATCTAAACGTGTTGTGTGCTTGTACCAGCACGGCCCATCTCGTGCCCATTGACGATCCACTGGTGGGGCTCCTGCTGCCGGCCTTGCTCACACGAAGAACCTGCAGCTGCCTGCAGAGCGAGGAGCCCCTGATGGTGCAGGGCCTTCAAGAGTTTGGCTTGGGTACAACGTCTCTGTCATGTCACATTATAGGTAAAAGCATCACTGGGTTTTTTTCAGTCTCTGATAGTGCAAATTCTTTTCTGGCAAGTGATTTTACTGTCATTTTTTTAATGGAAAAGCCCCTGTCTGGATGTTCTCAGTTACCTTTGTAACCCATTAGGCTTGAGCCACAGATTAAAGAAGAGGCAGTTGTTTATCCTTTCATTTGCCCCCATTTAGAGAAAGGCATTTGCCTCCAGCCACAGTAACATGCATTTTATTTTTCTTCTGTCTCTCAGAGATGCCTTAACAAAAATGAAAGATGTGTATATCAAGAACCCGCAGATGGGAGATGCAGCGAGTGTGGACCACAGATTAGCAGAACTTGGACAGAACATTGAAAAGTTACGATTAGAAGTTCAGAAATTTGAGGTATGGGAAGAGATATTTTGGTGAAACATAGCATATGCTCAGTTCTAAGCGGATGCTTCATTGCTTTTCCAGATGTATTGATGCATTTTCTTACCGTGTATGAGTAAGTGCTACTTAAGAACTTGCACTAATTGAGGTCTTTGAGCCTGTTTGTGTAACTTAAATATGCACCGTCTCTTGTGACAGACACACAAGTCCTGCTGTTTAGTTTGCCACAGAAAACAAATGGTGCCAAGTGGTGGGTAAAAGAAAATTTAGTGCTCTCTGGACTTTCCAGAGGGGTTCAGATGTTGATTTAATTAATTAAATAATTTGAAGCATCATGTTACAGATGTCTGTGGAAAATCAGAGGAACGTAAATGTAAAGCACCATTTATAGTCTTAACAGCAAGACAGAAGCTTTCAGATAAAATGTGTTTTAAGGAAGAGTCTGCTGTTAACAGGAAGCTTCTTAGAGATACAAAATCTCAAGGGCATGAGGAGTGTTTGGAATACATGAAGCCGTTATAATTACACAAGAAGGATTATGGGGCTGAGAAAAGACTTCACTCTAAGTTATGCTGTGTACATAAATAGATACAGCCCATTAATTTTAGATGTTTTTTACAGTTGTTGGCATTACTATCCATTGCGTTCTTATCCGTTTGAAAATCATTGGGTCTTTCATTCTCCCCAGCTTTAGTCCTCTTTTGCATTCAGCAGTCACCGAGACTGCTGTGTTTCTGGTGTTACTGAGACTACTGTAAGATGCCACATATCTTTTTATTTTATTGTGGCTAGAGCAGCAGCATCTCCCAACAGCTGCTGTTAACTGCTTCTCTTGGGTCATAGTGTTTTCAGCACCCAGTGTCAAAAAACGATTGCGTTTTCAGTGTGTCTTTTGGCAAGACGGGTAGATTTACTGTACACTGAAAGTACAGAATCTATCCCCTCTGACAACTGCAACCCAAAGGAAAATTTGAGTATGTTTACAGTCTGCTTTTAGTTCCATAGTCTGAACGTCAGATATGACACAGCAAAGTAAAAGCAATACATGTCCCCTTGCAAGTCGAAGCGTGAGAGATGCGTGAGACTGCTTTCCCTTGCAGGGCTGGCTGGCTGAGGTGGAGGGCCGGTTACCCACGCGGACCGAGCAGGCCCGGCGGCAGAGCGGGCTGTATGAAGCCCAGAACACTTCAGCAGTGAACAGCTGTGCGCAGGACCGGGAGAGGTACAGTATCTGTACAGAGCTGTCCTGTTCAGACTGGTAGCTGAACCTGCTTTCCTTAGCTTGTTAATCAGGAAAAACTGTAGCTCTGCAGCGTTCAGATACTCATCTGTAACCAGACCGAAGGTAGGCACTCCGCGAAGTGTTGCCCACGCTGATTTTAGCGTATGTAAGATCCCAGCCTTAAGAGCTACTTCTCCAAATATGGTGAAATGTCTAATAGCCCCCTGCACACACTGCTGGGAAAGTGAGTGAGATAGGTGTATTTTTTACAGCTTTTAATGGGGAAAAATGATGTGTCTCACCCATCGCTTTGTGGCAGCCGCTAGTGCAGCGGCCGGGTCTGAGCATGCTTTGGGATTGCTGAGCTGCTCCAGCGGCTCGCCTTGCCTTAAGTGCCTGGTAACCACGTTGTTCTCTTTGCTCCTGAGACTGGTCGCTATAGTTGCTGTGTATTTTCCTCTCTTGAGCAGCCCAGATGGCAGTTACACAGAAGAGCAAAGTCAGGAGACTGAGATGAAAGTACCGGCAACGGATTTTGACGATGAATTTGATGATGAAGAACCACTACCCACCATAGGAACATGTAAAGCGCTGTATACATTTGAAGGTATCGTCTAACCTTTACTACCATTTCTCTTACTGTTTGGTTTGGTTCACATGCCAAGGACAGGTGGGAAACCTTCATTTAACCCCTGTAGTGCTTAAATAGACAAAGAAAGGTCGTGGGAGGCTCTGGCATGATCCTGTTTCTTAGAGGAGGGCACTAAGACAGTGATTTGTCTCCCATCAGGCACGGACTCTGCAAGAAAAAGCCCCCAGACTCTGATGTCAGGATCACGTTCATGGGGTTCTTTGCGTGCCGGCTGTTGTCTCCGGAATCACGTGTGCTTGTTCATGCTGCTAGTGGTGCAACGATGGTTGCGCCAGCACGTTGTCCGAGTGTGCCCTGAGCTCCCCCCACTGCATCTCTTGTTCCCATTGTGCGGGACAGCCTAAGCTCTGTGTTACTGTGTCTTTCAGGTCAGAATGAAGGAACCATTTCTGTAGCAGAAGGAGAAATGCTCTATGTAATAGAAGAAGACAAAGGTGATGGGTGGACACGAATCCGAAGGAACGAAGATGAGGAGGGCTATGTCCCTACGTCGTATGTTGAAGTCTATTTGGACAAAAATGCCAAAGGTGCTATGACTTATATTTAATACTATTCTTATTACTTTATTTGCTTCCACAGAGATACCCAACCCTGAAACTGCTCTGTGTTGCAGATGGAGCCTTTTAAAAAAGTCTGTACAATGCCACAAAGTGCATTATTTTGTACATGGACTAATACGGCTTGCTGTACTGCAAAACGTGCTTTTTGTTGATCGGAGAAGGGTGGTGTGGTAGACTGTAAAACCAGAGGGGAAACGCCGCCTTCCCTAGGCAGCGCTTGTTCAGCTGTCGCTGCTATTGCCCGCCCGGCGTAGTGCAGGAAACACAGAGCCGTTTGGGATAACGTGGGCTCTCCCTAGATGTCCAGGTGGCATCTCAGACACCTTCACAAGTCAGCTGTTTGTCCCAAACTGATTCAGTGGAATGCCACATAGGAGGTATTTAGATTGCTGTTTGGTGTCTGTGTGGTGGCTTCTCAGAGCCTGATGTGTTCTGTGGGCCTTTGGGATTGAAACCTGATTGTCATTTAGTTAGTGTGTTTGGAAGGGGAGATCTTGCCAAAATCTGTCTGCACAGCACTCTGTGGCCCTTGATAAATTGGTAAAACATTAGAAAAGATCCTCTGTTCTTTCCCACCTCAATATGTTTCAGAAGATGTCCTTGATGTTTCAGATGACCAGAGCTAATCTCTTGCTCACCCAATAATGGAGACATTCAGAGCTCAGACTCGGCAATATTCTGTTTTGTTGGCTCTTTTAATTCCTCGCAAATGGGCGTGTTGTATAAGCAAGCAGTGCTACAGTTGCTAGCACCATGAACACCTGCTGATGTAATACGCCAAGAAATCAAAAGATTTTAGTCCTGTTTCAAATCAGGATGTGTTTGAAGTCCACTGTTAAATAATTTATGTGGTTGTTCAGTCACATAATCCTTCAGATTATTGTTGTATTTCCTAGACTTTAAAGTTCTGGGTGTGAAACAAGCTACCTCATCCAATATAAAAGAAAACTGAACCATTCTCATTGGGATTTATGGACAGTAGGATGAGAGGAGTAGGACTGTGTCTGTAAACAAACACGAGAACTTGATCAGTTCACTGTCTTGGATTCAGTATTAACCAGTGCAGTGCCTTGTCTGCTGCAGACAAAAATCTGGGGTCTTGTTTTATTTTGCCATGATACGGTAGTTTTGTTTGTGCTGGCAAATACAGAGTCAGCTGAGATGCAAGAAAGTGCAAAAAGCTCAGCCCCTCTGGCTTTTATTAACCTTTGAGGAACATGGATTGTACATTCTTCTTACTTCATGTTCAGAACAAAACAGAAAGCGCAGACTGGGAGATCCCATCTCTCGTCCCTGTGTTCTCTCCTGCGGAGATGACCGCTTTGTGCATGGCAATAGTTGAAAGCAACATTATTATTCTGCTGGAAGATGGGTCGTTCAGCAGTGTGGGCTGCTTGGAACAGCTAACCTGGTGTGGCATCTAAATCTGTCTCCAGTAACACACGTGGCTGCCCTGCCTCAGACGTGCAGCGTGGGTCACGCCGGCGGAACGCTGCAGCAAGGCGCCTGCTGGCGAGCGGAGCAGCAGCTTGGGTGGGAAGCGAAGCAAAGCGTGTCACAGGGCTGGCTGAGACAGCCTGACACAGTCCTGCTGGCCTAAATAGCAAAAGCTTGTCTGAAATTTACTCTTCTGGAGAGAATATTGCAGGAGTATTGCGATACCAGCCAGAAAATCGTACTAGTGTGTTAATGGTATTCTGTAAGTCATGGGATGTGCTGAATGGTGGTAAAAACGCAGTCTGTGCTGGCAGTGAAGGCGGTACAGTTGCAGGCACTTCTGTAGCAACGATGGAGGTTTTTCAGATCCTCTTTTAAGTTTTTTCCACTAATTTTGCTGGATTTCAGGAACAAAATCAAATATATCTGTGCATATTTAATGTAAATGAACTATAATATTTACCTCTCAATTCTCTGGTTAAAAAGAAAAACTAAAAGAGACCTTTCCATAAGATGTCCCAGTAGCAGTATAAAGATTTGGGAAGGTGCTGCTGTGTTTAAAAGACAAACTTTGTTGCAAGCTGCGAATTTCTCATTTGATTTTTAATACATGAGTAGAAGTGACTCCATTCAGGCCTTGAAATGGAAGCTATGACGTTCCTGAAAATGACACTATAAATACTAAAGCCTTTACAAACTTCAGTAGTTCTTTCCTCTGTTTGGAAAGAAGCTTGAGCAGCTGGTAGGTCTGAAGGTTGGTCGCCTGAGGGGTGGGAGCATTCGCACCCACTCCGAGTGCCTCTGTGACCCTCGAAGCCATTCCTGGCTGATTCTGGCGCGGGCGGACCTGCCTGCCCAGGCTGTGCTCGTGCCGTGAGCCGGCGGCAGCTCTGCCCGAGGAGTGTGGCTGCGAGAAACGCTTTGTGAAAAGCTGCCTGGCAGCTGGCAAGCTTTTCTGGTTAGCTGACGCCTGTGTCATCAGGGTTCTGCTGCCGAACCCCAGCTGAGCAGGGCAGGTAAGTCGCGTGCTGATGGTGGTCTTGACGTGAGCCGGGCTGGGTCTGTGTGCTCCGGCAAATCTCTGCACGAGGGCTGTTTGCAGAGTGTGCAGTGGTACCTCCGGTCAGAGGGTGTTAGCAAACCCTGCCACAAAAAGAACAGTAATGTCTATCTTGTTTTGCCTTTTTTTTTGTTTTGTTTTTACAGATGTGTACAAATCACTTCAGACAATCTCTGAGTAGGTTTGCGTAGGCCTGTTCACCTTTTATTCCTCTGGTTTGCTGCTACGGTTGTTTTAAGAGCTCTGTTTCAGAAGGTTTTCTTTAGAAGAGTTGAATGCACGTGTCACATCTCCAGCAATGAAAGACTCTGTTAGGTACTGTTCACTCGGCTGGCGTGTGTACAAGTTCACCTCTCGAAATCTAAATGTGCATCACTGCCGATGGAAGTACTGGCCCGACAGTATGGATTGAGTTGTGAACAGCATTGTTGTCCTTCCTGATTAAAATGAGAGCCAACACAGTTCCTTCTCTTTGTGATGCATGCAGGAAACTATTAGAAATGCTAAAAAACGTGCAGAGTAAGAGTTGGATGTACTGGGTGTAACCTCATGTGCTGTGGCTGACGCCAGCCTCTAGCTGCGAGGGGATGGGGAAGGGCCTGCGCTGCGCACGCGCCTGCGGCTTTTTTCCCGGGGTTTCTGTGCGCGGCACGCGCCTGCGGCTTCTTGCCGGGCTTTCCTGCGCCCGTCGGGTGTCTGGCGCTGCCAGCCGCCGAACACAGGAGCTAGCTGGGTTTCTCTGCTCGAGACTGACCCTGCCGTGCTACTTGAACATCGTAATCATCTTGGGAACAGAACTGCCCTTCACTGAGGGATGTTGGGAAGCAGCAAAAGAGCTGGCATGAAACACCTGGCTTGGTAGAAACTCCCCATTGCACCCAACAAAAATGCCATGTTCGCGTCCACCAGAAATCCTGGCTGTTTGGGTGACCCGCGAGTAAGTGAGGCTGTTTCGGGAAGTTAAAACTTCCTGATCAAAAAACGTTGGCGCCGTGGGCTGGTTGGCATTGCAGCTCCTTTGCCGCTGTGGGTCTGTTCTCCTCACCTCCACTTCTGTCAGTAAATCCTTAGAGGCAGCTCCGTGGGTCTCAGTGCTGCAGCTCTGCTGTTTGGTTGCTGGAACCGTTGTGCGGAGCCTTGACTTACGTAAATAAATAGGTAAAAGTTAACCATGCTGATGCACTTTTTGTCTAGGATATGTCTGATTATTTAACGCTTGCCAAATTATTTAGGAAACAGTAATTATAAACTAGACTGTGGCTCTTTTTAAATCCTTTTGTTAAATACTTGCCCTTAGTTCTCCCAGTATATATAAAAAATTGTATATAACATAACTTAAAAACTAAAGTTACTTGAATTTCAATTGTTTTTATCCTTTTATATATGTATAAATATAAATGGTTTTATAGGCTGTTTTTCTGCTTAACCTAGCTGCTGTTTTGATAACTACGCAGTCCCTCGTATGTTGATAAGCTTTTTTGGTTACTCAGCTGCCTGCATCTGGTTGGACTGGCACAGACACTTCGGGGTTGTGCTAAGGTTTGCTGAATCCGGCCAGGGTGGTTCTTCCATTTCTATTCTTATTTTTTAAAGAGTTGTCATCTGTCAGGAATCTCTTTATAGCTTGATGTACTACGGTGTCTTCTTCTAATAAACAGTATATTTTCTCATTCCTGTGAGGCTTTTTTTTTATTGGCAATTTGTTTAAGTTTCCCTGTGCTAAGGGAAAGCAAGTGGCCCAGAGCTGCTTTTCACCTGCTTCCCACCCGGAGTACAGATGCAATTCCTTTTCAGGAAAAATATTTTGTTGTGGCTCTGTGAAAACTTTCTTGCGGTGTCATTTGGAATTTTTTCTTTTATGGAAGTGGGTGCAAAGGAGATCAGAAGGTTCCCCTGCTCTCTTGAATGCGAGGGAAGTTTGGATTCAAAAGTTTGTATTCCCTTGGATACAGCAGTCTCTGGCCAGATCACACTGCTGGGTGTGAGTGCAGCTTCATTTGGCCGCAGAGAAAACCGACCCTCGGCCAGAAGTCGGAGGGCACAGGAACGTGACGAAGGGCGGGTTCAGACGCTACAACCGCTTTCACTCACCTGTTTATTTCTGGGCTTCCCGTAAGAAGGAAAGGTCTTGGCAGCCTGTTGGGGAGAGGAGAGCTAGTCGGGATTCATCTGCAAAATCCTTCGTGTTTCAGCGTCCTGTTGTCGTTCGGTATCGTTCGTGGTCTCTGGAGCTGTCACTTGAACAGATACAGAACTCCTTTGCAGACTGAAAATTCAAAAGCCGTTTGTTTTCTCTCTTGCACTGAGAAGGTGCCGGCAGGGTCCTGCTCCCCAGTCTTACATCCTCCTCCCAGAGGAAAGCAGTGTCCCAGTGGTGCTGGGCCAGAGGAGGCACGGTGACTGCCGTAGCCGCTGCTGTCCTGGTCAATGCCGTATTGCCTTTACCCTCCTGCAGGCAGGGCTGCTCGAGGGATCCCGATTTCCCCAGCCTCCTTCTAATCCAGTCTCTTTCTTTTTGTCTTTCTTATGTTTTAGATTCCTAAAGGTGTTTGTGCTGGTGCAAGAACCTCGGGGCGAGCTTGTCACAGAAGGAGAAACAAAATGGTCTGTTTACCCTGCAGGCAGTTAAAACACACCCCTGGAAAGCCAGACTCCAGCCTTGTCTGGAGTTCCCACTTGAAAAATTCAGACCTAAATTCCATCCCAGTATCATTCAGATGCCTGCTCTTTTCCATGGCATGCTGCTCGTGGCTCAGATTAACTTACAGCCTTTCCCACCCTGCTGCCAGCTTGGCACAGCCCCTCCGTAAAACACAACCAACTTTCCCCCCACCCAGTTCCTCCGACGCTGATCAAAGAACTGCTGGCTGCCCTTCGATGCAAAGGGTAACCAGGGAGTCCCAAGCATGTGCTGGTCTGTCTTCTGTCCTCCCTTGTCCCTCAGTCCATCTGAATGTGTGCGCTGGTCCATCAGCATTTCACACGGTGCCTTTCGTGCCAGTCCTGCAGGCAGTCTCGGATACGATCCACTGGGCAGGGGGTGCACGCGTGGAAACCCTCCCCGGGAGCTGTGCGACAGCAGCTGGACTGGGCTCTGAATTTGTGGATATTAAATATGATCCACATGCATTATTCAATACTCTGCTTTCCCCAAAAGGTCACTAATACTTGTCAGCCTTTTTTTTTTTTTTTTAAATCTAGGCTGATGCTCATTCCAAGTAGTAAATCCCTATAACCTTGCTGTTTCCTGAAAGCCTTCGAGCTCACGTATGTACGCCTGTTTTCCTGCTTGTTCTCTCTGCCCGCTCCTCTCTCCCTGCTCTTTCTCACACACACACAGACACACACAGACAGAGACACCGGCATTTTGGTTTGAAGCCCCATTTTGTTCACCAGAGACCTCCGTTTTGCTCTCGTTTCAGTCTGCATGCTCGCCCTGTTGCCTTGCCTGCACCCACCTTCCCGAGCGGCACATTATTTTGTGGCTCGTTGTGAATCTCTTTGCAGTTTTCTTTTGTTGGTTTGTTTTTCAGCGTTTCAGACCTGCCTTCTCCTTTTGCATGACCTCTTGTGCGTTCTCATCAGTTAATGTTTGAATAACAGAATTTTTTTAGAAAAATAAAAGAGAAAAAAAGAAACAGCACTCTATTTCGTTCTCCCCCCTTGTCATGGACTGGACCTCGACCCAGAAGCCAGACAGGAATTGCAACCATCCTGTTCTCGCATGGCTTTATTTGAAGCAGAAGTAGCGTGATAAGTGATGCTGTGCTTTGCCATGTCACGCAGTGGAGAGAGCTGTAATGTCTCCAAACATCCCGTGATCTGGACCTCAGCGCCTAAGAAAGGGCCAAATGCTTTCTCGACTTCACTGTTACAGCCGTTGGTTTCCCCTGAATCTTTCCCATTGCTAGGATTTTATCTTGTACGTGTTTGAGCCCCGTAAAGTCAGTTGCTGCTCAGTACCTCCCGAGGGCCTAATTTATTCATCGATCCCATCGTTTGGGGGAATCCGCTTGCTCTTGGCAAACGTCAACACTTTTTGTAAAATCCCCAGAATTTGAGAAAATGTATATGGAAGCCACTACAGGCAGCGACCCTAAAACGAAGCCCCTCAGGTTTAGTTTGCAGACAAATGCGCGTCTGTTGTTTCGCTGCCTGCTGTTCAGTGTCAGCACCCAGAAACGTGTCCGAGAATCGGGTGCTCTCGGTGCTGGGGGCTGCCAAGGCCGACCCCCTCGGGACGAAGTCATTTCCCAGCGGGGCACACGTTGTGTTCAGAACTCTGTCCCTTTCTCTCCGTTCAAGATAACCGACTTTCATCTCCAGAAGCACAGCGTCCCTCAGTCCTACAGTTAGCGCTGTAGCTGCTGTGTTACGGTGCTGAATACCCGCGAGCATCAACCAGCAAAAGGTTCGGGTTCTTAATCTACTTCACGCGGCTCAGGAGCCCGCACTGAGCAGGCGCTGCCAGCGCTGAGGCCGCTCCGCTACAGCGTTAGCGGCGTCGGAAGAGTCATCATCAGTTTAATTACCATCCTTGTCATTGCTGCTAGTGTGGTCACCTAACTGTTTAGATCCGTGAGCCTCCGATAGCTGAATGTGACCCACCCGGGGCTTTGTGCGAAGGCTTTGTTGCATCCATCTATCAGGGGACCTAAATGGTTAAGCAGTCAACAGGTGCGCAAAAAGATCTTTAAAATATTTTTAGCTGCAGTATTTTTATTCTCGTGTCCGATGCACTGTTGAATCAGCAGCTAGGAGAATTCATTTTCGCCTCTTGTTGTGCCATCTATGTAAAAAATTTAGATAAAAGTTTGCTTTTATATATTTAACCTAGGTGGACAGTATATTATTGTCAGCCTCTGTGGAACATTTGAACAGTTGCAATGTCTGTGTCGCTGCGTAGCGCTTTAGAAGGAGCATTAGCTTTAGCTGACTGATTTTCTTCCAGAGTTTTATTAAAAGACCATGTATGGAGTTTTTATAAACTTGGCAACTAGTTCCTGAAAGCCCAGATCTTAACACTTAAGAAAAAAAATATTGACAGTCATGTATTGGAGCCTATGTGTGTTTATTCCGCTGCCTTTATTCAGGGTAACGAATGAGTAATTTTTGTAGAATTTACCTTGTGCAAAATCTGAGGGACTAAATATGTGACTGGTTTATAAAAACTCTGCTGGA